TGAACCCTGCAACCTGGCCCCTAAACCCTGAACCCTAAGCGCTGAAACTTCAACCCTGAACCCTGAACCCTCAACGCTAAAACTTCAACCCTGAACCCTGAACCCTAAACCTTGAACCCTGAACCCTAAACTCTAAACCCTAATGCTAACCTAATTCTTAGAAGTCCTCATATTCTCAGAGCGTCCGAGGATGCTCTGGTGGCAGACTCTTCCCGACGTTGACAAAGCAAACACTCGCCACATCGAAAACCTGGTCGAGAGGCCTGGGGTTCGGATTCGTAGGGCTTAGGAGTTTAGGGTTTGGGGTTTAGGGTTTAGGAGTTTAGGGTTTCGGCTTTAGGGTTTAGGGTTTAGGGGCGGGTTCGGACTCACAGGGTTGATGATATAAATCCTGCATTACCCATAATAAGGAATAGACCATGGTTCCCATAGTTTAGGGTCCTTAGGGTCATGCAGGATTTATATGATCAACAGTAGGGTATAGGAGTTTAGGGTTTGGGGTTCAGGGCTTCGGGGTAGGAGTGTAGGGTTTGGGGTTCAGGGTTCAGGGTTTACGGGGTTAGGGGTTTGGGGTGTAGGGTTGAGGGTTGGGGAAGAGGGTTTAGGGTTGACGGGCGCGGAACCCTGAACCCTCAACCCTAAACCCTGAATCCTAACCCTGATCGCTGAGCCCTTATGCCTTGAGCCTGCCTTCGAGCAGGACGGAGCATGCAGCCTACTCAGAGCAGCTGCTTTGCTGCAACTTACGCCCTGGGCACAGCGGAGTTGTTGAACGTTTTCAGGTTGAAGGCCCCTTTGTCGTCCATACATGACAGTGTAGGGGCCAAAATAATTACCTATACTACTTTGTTACAATTTATTTATAGTACAATATACCCCAAAGCCCTATTCTAATTATGAAGGCCCGTATATTACCCTGTTTAATGGTTCGCTGCACCAACCCAGAATCTTCAGTAAACCCTAAATCCTAAACCCTAAGGCCTAAACCCAAATCTACATCCTAAACTTCAGGTCTGCGTGGCTAAGCGATGCTCAGCAGGCCAGAGATTTGGCGGAGAAGGCGAGGAACACAGCGAGTGATGGTGAGGTCTGAATAATTCGTGGCAGCTCTCCGTTGCAAACCCCTGTAAGACTAAGATGACTCAGCAATATCCCCGGGTCCCTAAATATAGTTATGCTACAATATATCCCCGAAGAGTTCCTAGATACCCTAAACCCTAAACCCTAAACCCTAAACCGTAGTACACTCGAATTGTTAGGGCCTCCGCTGCGCGTTTCAGCTTTGGGCGCTCTTGGGTCTTGGGGTCTGCGTGGAGGGGGTGTGGGGATGATGGCAACGTGAAGTGAGTCCCGAAGATTGCGGGGCTTCGGGTTTAGGGTTTAGGGTTTAGGGTTTAGGGGTTTAGGGCTTAGGGTTTAGGGGCCCTTTAGCAACCCCTCAAGCGAGAGACACGCAGAAGCCGTCATGCTTCCCAAGTGGAGCCCTTCGCGCGTCAACACACAGCACGGGCCATCCAGCTTCCATGGGGGTCGTGCGGGAGAAGCTGGAGACCACACCACCAGAAGTGCGACGAGTGTTGAGAAGTTTCAGGCAACCGGCGGACGACTGCAGCGTAACCTTGCTGCTCACCGAAAATGGTATGCCCAAGTACATCATTGAGCTCAAGGACGGCACGCGGCTCTTCATGGGCAGCGTCTTTGGAGACTCGAAAGACTCCGACAATGTGCTCGCCTCCATGCGCGCTGCAAATTCGGCCGCGGGCTTCGTACCGACGTCGGTATCCATCGGTGGCTACTTATCCACAACCTCAGGGGAGCTCTTGGCGGACGGGGATGATGGACGGAGGTGGATGCTGGTCCCATGCTTTGAGGAGAAGCAGTCCCTCGCATCGGACAAGCACACTCCAATGAGCGAATGCTCTTACAAGCTGCCGGCCACGCTTGGTGCCTTGCACACTGCATTTCGTAGAAGTGGCGCCAGCATCGAGGGTCTGAAGTACTACTCTGCCGTCGCAAGCTTCGATGCGGCCCGGGCGAACCTTCAAAACTGCATGGCCTCAACATCGGCGATGCCCTCGGACTGGAGGCCTGTCCTTCAGCCTGTGGAGCAGTGTCTGAGACAGTTGCGGGAAGCCGACGTGGCAGTTTTGGATGCCCTGCCCCGGCAAGTGATTCACAGTGACTTCCAGCCGAAGAATCTGATGCTGAGCCCAGAAGGCTCCCTCCGCATCTGTGACACAGAGACCATGACCCAGGGCCCCAGAATCTACGACTTGCTCTTCATCTTCATGGGTAGTGACGATAGCGACTTAGTTGGCCAGTGGGGCGCAGCGCTGGACCGACTGGAGGAGTACCTCGTCGCTTCCTGGCCGCTGGATGAGGATGAGCTGCAGGCGATGCCTACTGCACTGGCCCATCTTGCGACGGGCATCGCAGCATGGGCCGCGCAGAAGTTCGAGAACCCCGGCAGCTTAACTCCGGAAAGGCTGTTGCAAATCATCACTTGCTTCTCCCAGGCCGCCCAGGAGTTCTTAGATTCGGAGACTAGGTGGTAATTTGGGAAACTTTAAAATTTCCCTTATGGTTTCTAAAGAGGTACCTATAAATAAATACTTTTCGGGGCCCTAAACCTAGGACAGGATCTGGGCTTGCTGCCGTCTGGCCAACTGCTTTGCAGGAGGCCCTGCAGTGGAACTGGAGGCTTACTGGACGTACTTCCACAGGACGGAGGAGTTCTGGGTCCTTTTTTGGATACCATTTACATGTTTGTTAATTTTTTGTCATAATGAAACCTAATAAGGATTAAGAAATGATCATTTTTAATATGGCCCCGACAGGGAACCAGATGTGGGGGCCTGTCCGTGCCCAGCATTGGAGCCCGGGGAGAAGGGCGCAGCCGTTTTCTTCAATGGCACTTTCTCTCCGGTGCATGCTGGGCACCTGGCGACTGCTGAATCAGCCGTTAATGCTGTGAAGGAGCTGCCAGAGAAGTGAGGTAATGTAGGAACCTGATTAAGAAAGCCCATGGGGTCTTTATTAGGCTTCTTAATATGAAGCCGAATATGTTTGGGGTTGTAGGGCGAGGGTTTCTTAATCAGGTTCCTAATCACCCAATTGGGCATCCACCAGATAAGTAACCCTAAACGGCCCTAAACCCTAAACCGGTGATTAGGGAGCTTCGGGGCGGGGCGTTCTCCAGGTTCAAGGCGTCCCAGGCCCGGGTGCTCTTCGAACTCCCGTCTTATCCGATTTCAAGCAAGTCCATGTAAAGTACCAGTGAAATCCAGCTTGCAAAAAAAGCTACATCCCACCACAATCCAGTCAATTATCTGACGAAGCCAAGCGAGAGTCAATTCAGCTTCCGATTCGAATCCAACGAAGTCTATGTCGAAAGTCATGAATCCAGCTAATCCTGGTTGGGATTCCGCTCTGATCGCCTTGTGATGAACACCGCTTTCCATGATTCGTTTTTATCATCTCTCGGCCTTGGATGAGGAGCTGGGATTTGACAAAGTCACGGTTGTCTTCTCGCCGTGTCATGATTCCCATGAGGGCGGAAAGCTCAAGCAGCTCGGTGTTGGCGTGAAGCACCGTGCTGCGATGCTAGAAGCAGCGGGAGCCACTGTGGACTTGTATGAGGCTTCCCGTGACACAGCAACCATGGACTTGGAAGGTGTGCAGTCGTCCTTCGTGCGTCGGCTGCCCGCCAACTACGATGCCTTTTTCTTGGTAGGGGCGGATGTTGCAAGCTGGAGGTGGCTTCGGAGGAAAGTGGCTCTCGGCCTCCACGTGCTGCTTGTAGCGAATCGCCCGGGATCCGAATCTCGCGTTGAAGCTTGCGAAAGGAGCTTCCGATCAGGGTCCTGGCCGGGCTCCCTTCATGTGGTTCGCGGTGCAGACACGGGCAAGTCTTCCACACGGATCCGCGCGGCTGCAGCTGGCAGTGGTGACTTGAAAGCCGAGGTGGGTATTCCGGAGGTTGCGGCGTATGTTGCACAGCATGGATTGTACAGGACAGCCTTGGATGGAGCGTGACTCTCCATTGAAGAAGATTGCAACGTGCTGATGGGCGCCCGCTCAATTTTTCTGCCAACATGATTCAAGGACCGTTCACGGTGGAGAATAGTATTGCTTCGTAGTGATACAATGTCACTCTAGAGCATGTCCCATAATCCTGTTTCATGTTTTCAGGCCTTTATAGTTGGTGTAGGATGGAAGACCACTCTGTAAGAACTCTTATGAGGGATCATCTCACCTAACATACAAGCCCAAATGCTAAACCCTAAGCCCTAAACCCTAAACAATTACCAACAGTCTTCCTTCGGGTTCCTTACTATATCTATACAAAAAAGGAGCCCAAAATCCGATTTTTTAATGAAGGCCACTGCATTACCTTCATCTCAGGGATGGAGCCCGTAGCTTACGATGAGGCCATCGACGGATGCAAGTCTGCAATTTAAGCACACAAGGCTCACAAATGCGTAGACCCAGGCAAGCTCTTACACGACTCAGAGAGCCCTCGAAGGAAGCCATTAAAGCCATGTGGGGCCATACAAAATCGACCATACAAACTCGTCGCAAAACCCCTTGTGCAAAACTCCTTGCAAACCCTCGCCCTAAACCTTAAAGCCTAAACCCAAAGGCCCTAAACCCTAAGGCCCTAAACCCTAAACCCTAACGCCCTACACCCTAAACCCAAAGGCCCTAAACCCTAAACCCTAACGTCCTAAAGCCCTAAACCCTAAACCCTAACGCCCTAAACCCTAAACCCTAAACCGTGAAACCCTAAACCCTAAACCGTGAAATCCTAAACCCTAAACCCTAACCCCTAGAACCCTAAAGCCTTAAAAACCCTAAACCCCAAACCCTACACCCTAAATTCCCCAAACTACTCTTGGGCCGGAGGCTGCCTCGCGTGATCAGGGCAAGTTCTCAGAGATGAAAAGCCGCCAGGGCTAGAAGAAGGTGGGAGTTGGGTTTAGGGTTTAGGGTTCAGGGTTTAGGGTTTAGGGTTCAGGGTTCAGGGTTCAGGGTTTAGGGTTTAGGGTTCAGGGAGGTGGGGGTTGGGTTTAGGGACGTAGAAGCAAAGCTTGCTGATGCTTTGGGGTGCGGGTAACCTTGGACCAGGCATCTATCTGTCTCAAGTAGGATCTAGCTCTCAACCAAACCCTAAACCCTTTGCCCTAGACTGGGGTGGTTGAGCTATTTGTAGCCAACCTTCGGGAGCCGATCATGTTGAAAAAGCTAAGCTGTGTTGAGTATGCACGCCCTACCCAGAGTGCACAGGCCTCGGAAAGTGGATGACAGTGAGACGATGGGCTATCTGTGCTCACTGTGCTTGCTGCAGTGCTGCAGGTGCCAGTGAATTTCGCACTGCACGACTTGTTCTGCATAGTCCTTACCTGCGGTTCACCTGTCTGCGGGCGTTCTGTACTTGATTCCTGATCTTGAGGTTCATGTTACCTTCATGTTACCATGTTCCGCAGGAGCTCCCAGACTGCCCAAGTCCGTCAGAAAGTACCCTAAACCCTAAACCGTGTTCCGATAGTCAACTTTTTTTCAAAGCACACGGCATGATCTGCCAAGCAGAGACTGTGGCTCCATGGCTGCCGAAAATTGGCTTCAATCTCGACCGAGAGGTGACATGTAATATACAGTTATATAATATCTGTAGAGACTAGACTATAGAATATCTAAATGTCGTTATGATCCAGTTCGATATTGTAAGCGCCGGATGTGCGCTCAAGTTTCGGGTTTTTGGTTCAGGATGTAAGGCAAGGTGCCGGTTGCATAACCCCCGGAAACATCTAGAGAACTTCTCAAGACGTTGTGTGTTGAGAGCTGACAGATGGGAGGCATCCCGCACACAAAACCCCAAACTCCACAAACGATAGCCTTGGGGCAAGATGATCGAAGAAGCCATAGAGCCAAGAGAAAGCCGTTTTGTGCAATCTTTCAACCGGATTTTCAGAATTCGAGAATTCAGCTGCGGCTGCAGCTTCTCAGACGGGTGCCACAGCCCGCTGCTGAGCAGCATCGTCGAAGAGGCTTTCTGACCTTCAGCTTCACTGCCAACATCATAAAGTCACAACCCCAGACCCACGACCCTAAACCCTAAACCCCAAAACCCCCAAAACCCTCAACCCTCAACCCTAAACCCTAAACCCCTAAAGCCTCAAACCCTCAACTCTTGAATCGTAAGCCCCGACAGAGGGAGGTCTTCTGAAAAGCCTATGCAAGGTTTCCTGCACCTTAGAAGCCAGCAGAGCCATTTGATGTGCGATCTTCGTGTCAATGTAAGAACGTGACGCCTCTTCAGGCTCGAGGTGATCGAAGCTGGCCGAGTTTTGTCGGGCTAGGGTTTAACTCCGGTTTGGGTCTCTGGGCTTTGGGCTTTGGGTTTTGGGTTTGGGGTGGTTTAGGACCGGTTTAGGATTAAGGGATGTGTTCTGACATGTGCCGCGCTGCCTTGGAACGCTGCTTCGCCAAAATATCGGCTCCACTGCCCGCAGAACCACATTTGACAGTCGGCCCTCCGTAGCCCTCACAGCCTAAACACTACCCTAAACCCTACACCCCTGAAACCTAAACCCCAAGGCCTAAACCCCAAAACCCAAGCCCTTCACAACGAAGCCGTACACCCGACTCCTCACCTTCCGCGGCCCCTGTGCCCAAGAAGTTCTGTACACTGAAGGATAGACTCCACGCCTTGAGCCCGAGACTGCTTAAGCTAAACCCTAAACCCCAAACCCTAAACCCTAAACCCTAAACCCCAAACCCTAAACCCCAAACCCTAAACCCTAAACCCAAACCCTAAACCCTAAACCCTAAGCCCAACCTTCCCGAGACTTTAACTCGGAGTCATCGAGCTGTCCACACTGGACATGGGCCTTTCGTGGCAGCGACGTGATGCATGCCGGCTAGGGGGCGTGCCGTCTGAACCTCAGCGGCGCAGGACTTCTCTGGGGTTCTCGCAATTTGAGGCCTCAAGGATGCTTCCGGTTTTGAAGTCCCTTTTAGATTTTGGAAGTCTTGCGTCGGAGTAGTTTGGAGTTTGGGGCATTATGCTTCAAGTCTTGGTCGTTTGCTTCTCTCTCAGATATTTGAAGCCTGGCAGAGCTACCTAGATTCCGACTCGAAGTTGCTGAGCAAGGCGTCAAGCTGCAAGCCCCGTCATCGTTGTCGCGGTCACCTTCGTCGTCGTCGTCCTCGAACTTGGATTGGTAGTGAATTGGTCTTCGCGGCAGCGGTAGTGCGGTGGTCATGGAAGGTAGAACCGGAGGAGGCGGAGGAGTAGGAGGAGCAAAGGTTGCAACAGATGTCCACCGCCGCATCGCAGCGGAGTGAGACCCCTCAAGCAGATATACGATAGAAGCCTAAACGATTACCAATATTATTCCTTAGGTTCCT